CCACTGTCTGGAGATGAGGGAAGGGTGGTGTTGGCATTTCAAGACTGTCTTTGCTGTCCTCTTCAGTGCCTCTGTCAGTTATATGAAGTGAAAACCAAGTACTGTGATTGCTCACCTGATTTGGGTTCATATGAAGGTACTTTTTTATATAGTTGGTGTTGCGGAATCAGGAGGACCAGAGAGAGTGTATACAGGAGGATGTATACAGTACTTGGGGTGTATACAGGAGGACCAGAGAGAGTGTATACAGAAGGATGTATACAGTACTTGGGGTGTATACAGGAGGATGTCTTTATTATTGAGTGCACTCAGACCCAGCAGACTCAATGTCCAAAGACTGGGCGCAGAACAAAGACAGTACTTGGCTTTTATACACACTTCACAAAAGAGGGTGGGCTAGCTGGAAGCAAGCTTACAGCAGCGTGAAAGCAGGGATACAGAGGCAGGACAAAGACACTTAATCAAATTGTAACAGGTTCATAAACCGTTGCTATGCAGCCCGGATGTCCATTATCTAGTTTTGCTCTGAAGAGCCTTGCACTGGTTTATCTCATAACCTTCACTATGGTGCCTAGACAGCTGTAGTTCAGGCCTGCTTAGGCTTCTCATGACCTTCGTTGTAATTCTTAAATAAAACAGAATACTTGTCCGGGCACGGTGACTCACGCCTGTAATTCCAGCACTTTGGGAGTCTGAGGCCAGCAGATTACAAGGTCAGGAGATCGAGACCATCTAGCTAACACGGTGAAACTCCGTCTCTACTAAAAATACAAAAAAGTTAGCCGGGCGTGGTGGTGGGCACCTGTAGTCCCAGCTACTCGGGAGGCTGAGGCAGGAGAATGGTGTGAACCCAGGAGGCAGAGCTTGCAGTGAGCTGAGATTGCGCCACTGCACTCCGGCCTGGGCGACAGAGCAAGACTCCATCTCAAAAAAAAAAACAGAATACTCGAAGTTATTAGTTACAGAGAACAAGAATCTATAAACTCATACTATAAAACAAAGGAAAACTTGTTTTTCTTCTCCTTATGTTGAGGGAGTGCTGGGAGGGAGAGTCACCAGAGCACATTAGATAATATTATTAAGACTTTTCCTGGGTCTGGGCTGTGCCTGTTGCTGCCTCTGGGACAAGTCAGCCTAATACAGGAAAGCTTATTTCTCTTTAATTTTATTTTTCTTTAATTTCCCACCTCAGTTGCCAACTTTGAAGTTCCTGTGATGAGGACAGTTGGTGGAAGCTTCTATTCATCTCTCTTGCTCTACCCCCACCCCGCCCCCGCATTACTCTTTTTTATTTACACAATGGATATTTGCATTTTCTTTTTATTCTACTCGTTGATATCCTCTAGCTAAAGACTACGAGGAACACAACTATAGTTGAACAAAGCTGAGTGGCTGACCTGTTGCAATGAGGGGGAATGCATACCCTGGGCAACCACGAGGCATCTCAGTAAATGGATATTTAGAAAGGACTTACAGGATTTGCGCTTGTTTTAGGGGATTGGGAGAAGGATTCGAGGAAACAGGGCTTTTTGATTATTAGTATTGGATGTTGTCAGGAAGCAGGAGTAATTCTGTTTCGGTACCTGAAAAGTTCTTATCTAGGAGGTGGTATGAATGGAAGTGAAGCTAAAGTTGTAACTGGTAAAACAGCAGCAGTCACTCCTATTAGGCAGGATGAGGGAATGCTTGGCCATTCTTGTGGTTTAGACAGTATTCATGGTTTTGTCTGTGTTCAGATGTGGTTACAAAGGGTCTCATTTTTTTTTTCTTTATCATGGTCACAGAGTGGCCGTTTCTGAGATTGGCATTCCATGGAATTGTTGATGTTTAACAGAACACCAGGGCCTACCTGATAGTGTCTGGTCAGCTCCTGGATACCAGGGACACCTTTTCTCTTTCTCAGAATCATTCCCAGATTCAGATTGTTTCAATTTTATTTTTTTCTATTTTGAGACAGGGTCTTGCTCTGTCACCTAGGCTAGAGTGCAGTGGCACAACCACAGCTCATTGCTGCCTTGACCTCCCAGGCTAAATTGATCCTCCCACCTCAGCCTCCCGAGTAGCTAGGACTACAGGCATGCACCACCCCAACGGCTAATTTTTTAATTTTTTGTAGAGACAGGGTCTCACTGTGCTGTCCAGACTGGTCTTGAACTCCTCCTAGGCTTGAGCAGTCCTCTCACCTTGGCGTCCCAAAGTGTTGGGATCATAGGCGTGAGCCACCACGCCTGGCCCAGATTGTTTCCTTTTTAGAAAGGTCTGTCTTGTTACTACTGTTCCATTGTTTCCACCCCACACCTTGATTTAATAGATTTTTTAAGATGGAGCCACTAACTGCAAGCTTTGTACTGTCTGCCTTTGTAGGAAAACAGGAAATGGTGCTTTCCTGCATGGCATGAAAAGATAACAGTAAGGTGTTACTTTCATTATGTCACTTTCCCTTTTTAGGAACTGTTATCAGTGAACCACATCCCAAATATGACAGTTATTTCTCTTCAGCTTTCAGGGACCTATCCACTGAATCTTTGAACATCTTCAGTGACTCTGATCTTGCTCCTTTCTCTCACTTTTATTTTTCACTTCTTACTACTACACAAATGCTGTCTTATTCATTCATCCCTCCACTGAGGGAGTCTTCTAGGTATATTACAGATAACAGTAAATAATTGTAATTATTATTATTGAATTGAACAACCCAGATTAGCTTCTCATTTCCCAGTTAGCTTTTAAAATGAGCTGCTTACGAATAGAAGAAAAAATAAAATCTCACTATAAAATTTCACCAGCCAACCTGGGCGACAGAGCAAGACCCTGTAATCCAAAAAATATATTGTATTTAAAGACAAATATCAGCCAGGCGCGGTGGCTCACACCTGTAATCCCAGCACTTTGGGAGGCCGAGGTGGGCAGATCACAAGGAATGAGTTCAAGACCAGCCTGGCCAATATGGTGAAACCCCATCTCTACTAAAAATACAATAATTAGCCAGGCGTGCTGGTGCGCACCTAGTCCCAGCTACTCGGGAGGCTGAGGCAGAAGAATCTCTTGAACCTGGGGGGCAGAGGTTGCAGTGAGCCAAGATTGTGCCTCTGCACTCTAGCCTGGGTGACAGAGTGAGACTCTGTCTCAAAAAAAAAAAAAGACAAAGATTTGCTATTAGCTTTGTTTCTGCTTCATTAACCATAATGTATATTATTTTATGAATAAATATCTGTACTCACAGATACATGTGTACATGTGTGTGTGAGGTTTTTTTTATTTTTATTTTATTATTGTATTATTTTTTCCTGTTTTTTTTGTTTTGTTTTGTTTCAAGGCACAGTTGTTCACACTGTTGCCCAGGCTGGAGTGCAGTGGTGTCATAGCTCATTCAAAATCCAAAATCCTGGGCTCAAACCATCCACCTGCCTCAGCCTCCGAGATAGCTAGGATTACAGGAGCATGCCACCATGCCCAGCTAATTTTTTATTTTTTTGTAGAGATGAGGTCTTCCTAGGTTGTACAGACTGGTCTGAAACTACTGACCTTAAGCAATCCTCCAACCTCAACCTCCTGAGTTGCTGGGACTACAGGGGTGAGCCACCGTGCCTATCTGTTTGTTTACTAGGTCTACATTTGAAAACTAATTCTCCTGGTCCGAATGTAATGAGTTATCTCAATTGATTATTTACAGTCACAGATCGAACTCTTTGTTATATTCTTTTCCCTCTTCTCACTACTGCACTTGATTAGTCTTTAAAAAAATAAAATGAATGATTAATAATTCTTAAACATTTAAGAAATATGCCTCTAATGTGCATACCTTCTAATATCATTGAGATTATGAAGCAGAATTTTGTTTATATTCAGTGAAGCAGTTTTAATTGTATTTTTCAGAGCCACAGACTACAATATGTCTTGGTGAACTTTCGCACAAGTGTCGGTCACTTGGAATAAGAAGGAAAATAAGCTCATAATACATGAGTTGTTAATATGAGACAGAAAGTATAATTTTAATGTTTTAATATATCAAATATAATTAGGAATAATTCATCATAAAAGTAATATACGTTCATTGTGAATTTAGAAAGCTGTAAAAAAAAAAAAGCTGGGCATAGTGGCTCATGCCTATAATCCCAGCTACACAGGAGGCTAAGGCAGGAGGATCAAGGCTAGGAGTTCAAGACCAGCCTGGGAAACAACAAGATTCTGTCTCTAAAATAATGAAATAAAATAATAGAAGGCACTAAAAGGTACAGTACAAGTAAAAATTACTCCTTGTGCTACCATTCATAAACAACCACTGGCTACAGTTTGGTGTGTTTTTTTGAGACAGGGTTTGGCTCTGTTGCAGAGGCTGGAGTGCAATGGCATATTCTTGGTTCATTACAACCTCTGCCTCCCAGGCTCAAGCAAGCCGCCCTTCCACCTCAGTCTCCTGAGTAGCTGGGACTACAGGTGCCTGCCATCACGCCGGGCTAACTTTTGTAATTTTTGTAGAGATGAGGTTTCACCATGTTGCCTAGGCTGGTCTCGAACTCTTGAGCTCAAGTGATCCGCCCACCTCAGCCTCCCAAAGTGCTGGGATTACAGGTGTAAGCCACTGTGCCTGGCACTGGTGTTTTCTTTATTGTCTCTTTTATATGCATGTTTTCTCATCTTTAGGATGATACTGTGTTTATGATTTAATATTCTTGCTTTTCCACTTAAAATAGTGGCAAAAGCATTTCTCATCACACTGGTTCTTTTCTAGCTTGTAGACCTAATATTCAAATTTCTTAAAGCATTTTATTCATAAAATAACAATAGCCACAGTTTTCCAGGAAAAACTGACTAGTGAAATGTTTTTAACAAATAAGGTGAATTTTTTCTTTCATCTAAGAAAATACAACTTTAAGAAGCAAAATGAGACAGTAGATTATAGAAAAGCAGGGAATAGTGTCCTGTAGTGCTAAGAATTTGATTTGTCCTATCCCAACTATATTTTTCTCCCATATTGAACTCCAAAATCCGTTTTTCAGTTAAGGTGAAGGAATCTGTTGTTGAAAATCATGCAGTATTAAGTTATGCTGTGGAGGAAGAACATACATATTTGGGTCCAACTGTGATGCCAGATGATAAGGTTAGTAATGTCTTAATGTTCACTCGATTTTTAGAGCTGTTTGGCTTTGATATTGTCTTCTGTTTAGTTTACAGAAGCTATATTATAACATTAAAGTCCATATTATCTGAGATCTGCTTTTACTGAAGTGGATCAATGATGAAACTAGCCAAATCTGAGCATCAGAAGGCTTTCCAGTCTACCTGATGCATGATCTCTACAGTTCTGAGAAGCAAAACTATAAAACAATGTAAAACAATAAGGGCATATGTTGGGAGTGTGTGTGTGTGGGGGGGGGGTGTGTGTGTGTGCATGCACATGTGTTTATAAAGATAACAGCTGTAGGAATGAATGAGATTGAGGGTGGGGGGGTGCGTATGTATGTCTGTGAAAGCCTAATCATTTCTGGGCAATGATGAAAAGGTTTTACTACTGATCTTTGTAACTATGAAGGTTTCTACACTTGACCTGAGCTCAGAAATGACAACTGCTGGGGTTGGTGATTTGGGGTTTTCCTACATACTACTTGCTACATTGTGATCTGATATTCCCCTTAATTTCTAGGCTAAAACACTTTCTCATGAGCCATTATCTTCAGTAACCGTTTCCACTGGAAGCCTTTTAAGTTATGAAAACACAGATTTGAGCCTTACAGATCCAGGTAATAAGGTCAAAGTGTTTATAAATAAGTTGAAAGACCAGCACCAGTTGAGTTGCAGTACAGTGATGGAAGGAAGCATTGGTTTTTCGTGATACACCTTGGGGAACTGTTCCTCTAAATCTCAAAAGTAAAGTATGGCTGGGCGTGGTGGCTCATGCCTGTAATCCCAGCACCTTGAGGTGGGAGGATCACTTGAGCCCAGAAGTTTGAGACCATCCTGGGTAACATGGTAGAACCCCATCTCTACAAAAAATACAAAAGTTAGCCAGGTGTGGTGGTATGTGCCTGTAGTCCCAGCTATTCAGGAGGCTGAGGTAAGGGGATCGCTTGAGCCTGGGAGGTCAAGGCTGCAATGAGCCACAATCGCGCCACTGCACTCCAGCCTGAGCAACATAGTGAAACCCTGTCTCAAAAAATAAAATAAAATATTCACACCCAGCAAAAGATTGGAGCGTATGGTATTCTAAACATTACTGGAAGTAACAGGGATGCTCTGTGGATCCCCAACAACACTTTTGAGAAGCAGTTGCTAATATATTTTTCCATTCAGTGGAAACCTATCTGAGCAAATTTCATGGTTGTACTGATCTCTTAACAACATGTATCACCATGCCTCTCCACTAAAATATGTCTGTAAGGAAGTACCCAGTACAGTATGTGTATAAGGAATATTACATTAAAAGGAATATAGTGTCGCTGTCAATTACATTTTTTTTTTTTTTTTTGAAATGGAGTCTTGCTCTGTCGCCAGGCTGGAGTGCAATGGCGTGATCTCGGCTCTCCTGCCTCAGCCTCCAGAGTAGCTGGGACTACAGGTGTGTACCACCACACCCAGCTGATTTTTGTATTTTTAGTAGAGACGGGGTTTCACCATGTTGGCGAGATGGTCTCCATCTCTTGACCTCATGATCCACCCGCCTCAGCCTCCCAAAGTGCTGGTATTACAGGCGTGAGCCACCACGCCTGACCTATTTACATATTTTAATTAAACTCAGTTTTCAGAGTCATTTTCAGAGCACATGGATGATAGCAAGCAAGAATCTACTGCCAGTAAAGAACAGGAAACAAACATAAGTTCCATAGTTCCTTCAACACAAGATATTTATCAGTGGCGGAACTCTTCAGACGTTCATAAATCTCTGTTGCCTGCAGTGGATGAAACTACATGTGGTCACACACACTTCCGGCAAATGATAGACAAGTACATTAATGAAGCAAATTTGATACCTGAAAAAACAGATTTACGGGGTAAAATTATTTTTTAAGTTTTCACCTTTCGTCATTTTTAATTTTATGCAGTGATTGTTTGAGCTTCAAGTTCTTATGGCCTGCTACAACACTGTTATACCACAGAAAATATTGAGGGCATTTAGTGAGAAAGGGGATCTGGAACCAGTTAGACTCACTGAGGCACGTGTACAGGAGATTAATTAGCAAATTTTCCTTTACCATTGCAGAGTTAACTATTACGGCTGAGACAGTATTACTGATAAAGAAGAGCAGGAGCTCAGAAATCAGACAGTTGTGGATTTGAGTCATAGCCTGACCATTTCCTAGCTGTAAAACCAAGGGCAAGTTACTTTTTCATCTTTGAGGAATGTTAGAGATTAAATGAGATAGTGCACATAAACCACAATGTCTGGCCCATAGTAACACTGAATACAGTGAGCCTTTTTCCTTTTTTAAGCTTATACTGAAGCAATGGTTACATATGTCCTGTTGATCCTAATTGGCCTCATAAGGCTATAGAAATAGAAATTTGTATTTGTCAAAAGTTTGTTCATACTTGTAATCCTAGCACTTTGGGAGGCTGAAGCAGGAGGATTGCTTGAGCCCAGGATTTCAAGACCAGCCTGGGCAACACTGAGACCCCATCTCTATTTAAAAAAAAAAAAAAGTAAAATTAAATTTCTCTAAAAATAAAACTTAAAAAGTTTTGGTCACTGAGAGGATCCATATTTTTGGACCTTTGAAATAATCATGATAGGACTTAACTTTAAAGCATCTGCTGATTATGGGGGGAAAAGTGAAGTTTTTGTTACACTGGAGTTACCTGAAAATAAGCTTTTATGAATATGTTCTTAATATTCCTTTTCTAGTGTTTACCTTAAAAATAAATTTATGGTTTTTTTCCCTCAAAAATTCCAACAGTTGACCTTGACTTTCCAGAATTGGAACACATTTTTCCTAATTTGCATCATCAGCTGTTTAAACCTTTAGAACCACATCCAGATTTTGACTTATCATCATCATCCTCTGGGATTTCTCCAGACAACAGAGACTTTTACCAGGTATATTAAAGCAGATGTCCCATTGCAGTGAATATCTAAAAATAGTTTTAAGGCATTTCTCCTACTGGAACAAGAGTTCTTCTAAACCTTAACCTAGAATCACATGGAAAGCCGGGCACAGTGGCTCATGCCTGTAATCCCAGCACTTTAAGAGCCCAAGGCGGGCAGATCACTTGAGGCCCAGAGTTTGAGACCAGCCTGGCCAACATGGCAAAACCTTGTCTCTACTAAAAATACAAAAATTAGCCAGTCCTGGTGGTGGGCACCTGGAGCCCCAGTTACTCGGGAGGCTGAGGTGGGAGGACCGCTTGAGCCCAGGAGACAGAGGCTGCAGTGAGCTGAGATTGTGCCGCTATACTCCAGTCTGGGTGACAGAGCCAGACCCTGTCTTTAAAAAAAGAAACAAACAGAAAAAAAGAATCACATGGAAAACTTAAATAAAAAATAAAAAATAAATAAATAAATACATCTTCTTGCCCAGACTACACCCTAGACCAATTAAAGCAGAGTCTCTGGGAGTGCTCGGATAGTATTAATTATTATTATTATTTTTTAAGCTCCCCAAGTGATTCTAATGTGGAACCAAGTTTGAAAACAGCTGCATTGGGCCAGGTGTGGTTGGCTCACACCTATAATCTCAGCACTTTGGGAGTCTGAGGCGGGTGGATTGCTTGAGGACAGGAGTTTGAGATCAGCCTGGCCAACATGGTGAAACCCCGTCTCTGCTAAAAAAAAAACACAAAAATCAGTTGGGTGTGGTGGCATGCCTGTAGTCCCAGCTACTTGGGAGACTGAGAACCACTTGAACCTGGGAGGCAGAGGTTGCAGTGAGCTGAGATCATGCCACTGCACTCCAGCCTGGACAACATAGTGAGACCCCGTCTCCAAAAAAAAAAACAGCTGCATTAGAATTTTGTTTGTCCTATCCACCTATCTCCACCTAGGGAGTATGATGCCATAAAAGGCTTGATAACAACTTTTAATTGTGGAACATATTTAAACAGTAAGGTAAATACAATTTTGCAAAATTTAAAGTATCTTCCTACACAGTCAAAGGAGCTGAGATTTAAACCTGAGTCTTTCTGCTTCCACTTCCTGATAGCCTGACATTGTAAAGTCTCTTTCATATTGATTGAAAAGAACCGGATTTGAAAAAGCAAATCATTACTGTCATAGTAAAGTGGTAATTAAGGAAGAGTAATACAAAAGGAACACAGTGATTATTGATTCAATTGGTAATACCTAATCAGTATTTCAGCCTTTCCCTTTTTGTTTCCTGCCAGAGATCAGATTCTTCATCTGAAAGCCACTGTGCTACTGGATCATCCAAAAGTACAGTTTATTTCACAGCGCTGAGGAGGACCAGCATGCATTCTTCTCTTAACACGGGCCCAAATCAGCAACCTGACACTAACTTGGCTCATGTTGGAGCACACAGTTTTGCTACAGAAAATATTGGGGGTATGTACGACTAAGTCAGAAAAAGTTAATTTTTTCATGATTTTTTACATCCATTTCCTTAGAAATTAAGCCTAGCACCTCTTGGTTTGTCTTCACCCCTGTTCTCACCCCTATCCTGGGTGTTAAAAAAAAATATTTAAATTACAGAAGTAATACATGCATTTTTTTTAAACAATACTGAACATTATCAAATAAAAGGAAAAGTGTTGCCTCTTGTTCCTCAATTTCCTTACCTCAATCATTATATGATAGTTAACAGTTTACGTTTCTTTGTTTTTTTTTTGTTTTGTTTTGTTTTTGAGACTGAGTTTCACTCTTGTTACCCAGACTGGAGTGCAATGGCATGATCTCGGCTCACCGCAACCTCTGCCTCCAGGGTTCAAGCGATTCTCCTGCCTCAGCCTCCTAAGTAGCTGGGATTACAGGCATGTGCCACCACACCCAGCTAATTTTCTATTTTTAGTAGAGACAGGGTTTCACTATGTTGGTCAGGCTGGTCTTGAACTCCTGACCTCAGATGATCCACCATCTTGGCCTCCCAAAGTGCTGGGATTACAGGCATGAGCCACCACACCCAGCCGTTTTAAGTATTCTTAGGCCAAGTGTAGTGGCTCACGCCTGTAATCCTAGCACTTTGGGAGGCTGAGGCAGGAGGATCCCTGGAGCCCAGGGGTTCAAGACCAGCCTGACAACATAGAAAACAAGTATTCTTCTTGAGCTTTTTGTACAATTATATATACATACATACATAATTGAGATACACAAGGATGTACAAATTATATATACACATAAAGACACATGGATGCTTTATTCTCTTTTCTATTATTAAAATCATATTCACTTCTTACAAAGGAAAAACATCTTCAGTTTATAGCCATATTGCCCCTATTAAATATTAATAGAAAAAAAAAGTTGGTGTGAGCTGTAGTTTGAGAAATCACTATGACCATGCTTATCTTTGTATTCATGTTTATACACATCAACTTGTATGCCTACAATTGCAATTGGATGACAAACTATTAGACTGTCAGTATCCAAGTTTTACAACATGTAACAATGATTAACTGGTTTTTAAATTTCTTAATGCAGGATCTGAACAATGTTTTGAACAGCTTCTGCCAGAATATTCTTCACAGGAGGAGAGCCAACATGCTGATCTACCAAGTATTTTTAGCATTGAAGCAAGGGATTCTTCCCAAGGCATGAAAAATCAGAACTACTCCTCTGAAGAACATACTGAAATACTACAAAACAAGAAAAAAAGTGTTCATTTCCAGCTTTCTGTAGGAAACTTAAGTTCGGTCTACAGTTCATCTGATGAAGCTAATGTATTTGATCAGTTAAATGTACAGCATAGCACTCCATGTAGTTCTAACTCTACTGAGTGCTCAATAAAACACCAACTAGAAAGCAGAAAGGAAAGGATGGGCTTTGAAGAACTATCAAAAAGAGGGGTTGTTACAATTTTACAAAGTCAAGGACTCACTGAAGATAATAAAAATGAAACCTGTAGGGTTTTAGACATAAATCCACAGATAGAGGAAATTGACTCTCGATTATGTGTAAGAACAGTGGAGATGGGGACTTCAGTTCAGGCACCATATTCCTTAACTACTCAAAATGAAAAATGTTTTGAGAATTTAGCTGAAACAGACATTCCAAAAATCACCAAAAAACTATCTCAACTAGGTCAGTCAGAGCTTTTTACAAGTTCTGGATCATTTTCATTACAGAGCTCTATACCAGTCTGGGTAAGTGAAATCAGTGTTGTATAAATAACATTTAAGTTCCTTTTTGGGAAAAAATATTTTTCTTTTAATATTAGAGATGAAGGGCCAGGCGCGGTGGCTCAAGCCTGTAATCCCAGCACTTTGGGAGGCCGAGACGGGCGGATCACAAGGTCATGAGATCGAGACCATCCTGGCTAACCCGGTGAAACCCCGTCTCTACTATAAAATACAAAAAAAAACTAGCCGGGCGAGGTGGCGGGCGCCTGTAGTCCCAGCTACTCGGGAGGCTGAGGCAGGAGAATGGCGTGAACCCGGGAGGCGGAGCTTGTAGTGAGCTGAGATCCGGCCACTGCACTCCAGCCTGGGCAACAGAGCGAGACTCCATCTCAAAAAAAAATATTAGAGATGAAGATCTCACTGTGTTACCCAGGCTGAACTCAAACTCCTAGGATCAAGGGATCCTCCTGCCTCAACTTCCCAAGTAGCTTGGACACACCACAATGCCTGGCAGGAAAAACCTGAAACAAAATACAAGCAAAACTACTTGTTAATATTCCTTGTGATCACTGGAAATATCCAGCATAATGAAGAAACTTAAAAATTTGAAAGCTGTCTTCTGATTGTATTTTACAAAAGATTCTTTTTCTTCCAATTCAGATATCCTTTCTCCAACTTCCCTGAAAAATGGTGGTTCTGCCTGTGCTTCAGCACTTTCAGTGTTGAGCCTCATTGCAATGTAATCCATTATTGGAATAAGTATTGGAACCCTGCTCCTCATACTAAGCAACTTATAATCTGCTTGCTTTCAACACCAGTCAACTGGTGACTGGTTTTCATCTAGCAGTATGTGCAGTTTATCCTTCCACAAATAAGCACAACAGATTGAAAATAATTACAGCTAAACAATGTTTAGTTTTATTTGGCTGCTTTTGTTCTTGTTCAGTGTTTAGATACTTCCTTTGAAACACTTACAATCTGTTGGCTGTCAGTGGCCCACATTTGGCAGCAGCCCAGTCAACCCCTGCTCCCTTTAGACAGGATACAGTTCTGCACAGCCCCAGCGAACCTGCATTTGTATTTTTTGCCCAACACTACAAGCATTTAGGTTTGTAATCATTGTGGTAGATACTTTCAGTCCATTGTCACACTATTTCATCTCTTCCCCAAAGTTGACTCCAGTATTTCTACAACTGAATGCTGGAGTTACAGAAGCCTAAGGAAATCTGATCTGTTGCTCTTTGCCAATTACTGCTTTTCTTCTTCCATTTTCACATTTATATACACTTGCAAAAAATGCATTATATACAAAATTATTAGTTTTAAGTGTTTTAAGCTATTTTGACGTGGCTTTCCTTTTAATTGTGGTTCACAGGAAACAGAAACTGGCCATGGTATAATGGAAGAACCAGAACTAACTTTAGTAAGCACCAGTGATATCAGTATTGCTGAAACAGATTTTGCAAATTTAACCCTAGAAGAAAAGAGTGAGAAAGAAGCAAAAAACAGCTTTCAGGTAAATTTAATAAGCATTCCTTCTATTTTATCCCATTATGAGCAAATCAGTTGATTGTCTCTTACAGCTTATCAGAAGGCACTCATTGGAGGGAATTATGCTATGGATTTAACCTGACACCCCCACCAACTCTCAATTTGTCTTAAACTTTTTCACTATTCTGTCAACCACTGCATTTTCTTTTAATCCCCACTCCAATTTATGGCTGTCTCTGAGACTGGCAGAACTACAGAGCCAAGTTGGAAGTTTTACGTAAACTTATTCCAAGATATTGAAAAATGACTTCAGAACAACTGGTAATTTTACTACAGTAGTAGGGAGGCAGTAAGAATAAAGCTATCTAAACAGAGGCCTAGAGGTGTGAGGGCAGTTGAGCCTGAGCCTAGTTCAAAACCAGCCTGGGCAACAAGGCAAAACCCAATCCCTTAAAAAATACAAAAATGAGGCATGGTGGCGGGTCTCTGTAGACCCAGCTAAGACTGAGGGTTCAGTGAGCTGTGATCATACCGCTGCATTCTAATCTGACAACAGAGCAAGACCCCTTCTTAAAAAAAAAAAAAGGCGGGGGGGGGGGCGCATTTAAAAAGTTGAATAAACCGTGCAACTTTCTTGCCATTAGGTGAGTGAGTTTCTGCCTCTTGTATCAGAAACAGAAGCCTCAGATTATCCAGCTGTATCAGAACTTTCCATAGAAAAACCAAGGACAGCATCGACTGGTAAGCCTTGAATGGTCTCCACACTTCTAATGGAAAGTAGATACTTTGCCTATTTCTGTCATAAATTTCTTTTCCCCCCAACAGACACCCCTCAAAGGTTTACACCTATACCAGGGAGCTTACAAGAAGCATTTATAAAGAGAAAAAAATCATTTATGGAGAGATCCCACCAGAGGGAGAAAGAAATAAGGAATAAAATTCGTCTCTCTGAAAATTCTCAAATCAAAACAGTTAAAGAGAAACCATCTATAAGTATGTTGAATTTTTAAAATCTTCAACAACTCCCTGAAATGTTTAAAGCCTTCTGATTACAACTTGATTTCATTTTTCTTTCCTCAGGTTCATCTGTGAGTCGTCTAAAGGGCGTGAATAAAGTCAGAGCGTCTTTTCCTGAAGACAGAAAGACCACACAGGTTCTAAGGCACCAAAGGGGTCTAAGGTAAGGTTGATTTTATTTTTATTTTATTTCTTTTTAGTGATTCACTTTTTGCAATGTTTGTCTCTAATTCTATGTAAGTTCTTTACAGGTTATACAATCAACTAGCTGAAGTGAAACAACAAAAGGAAGAAAAAGCAAAACAAGAGGCTTATGTCCAAAACAGAGCAAGGGCAAAAGAATTCCATAAGGTGAGTGTAACTGAGGGGGAAGGACTTAATTTTTCAAGCCTGAAGTACACAACTGAAACTAAATTTTTATTCCTTCCACAGAAAACACTAGAGAAACTTCGAGCCAGAAATACATGCTGACTTTCTAGAAACAGTGTAAAGAGGTTTTTTTTTTAATTATGTATATGTAGCATTAGACAAAATTATTTAAAGTCAATAAATTTTTATTCAAGGAATTCCATGTTGTGATTTCTTCCACTGTCCATCAAGGTCACTTTAGATCCCCTAAAAAGCTGGAGTCAAAAGATCTTCAAGTTTGCCCTGAAGAAGAGAAATTTTGATTAACCTTTAAAACTCTCACATGGCAACAATCGTGGATTATTAAGTTTTATATCTCCTCAGGAAAACATAGCACCAAACATAGGAGTGCTATGGCATCCTATAGAGAACTTCCATCTTTGGTCACAGCGTTAAGAGCTCTGGGTTTCACAGCCTCATGAGCCCTCTTTGAAATGACCTATACAAATGTCTTTTCTAATGCATACATACCTTTTTAATGAAACTGATCCAGCTGTCCTGTCAGCCCTACATAACAATATAAAAGTAAATTTTACATTTCCAGAGATGATTGTACAGTGAGTGAACATGAATGAGTCCTAGAACCAGCCTGAGTTAACTCTACTACAAACTGCTTGGTTATTAGCATCCCACAAGGGTTACAATACAAAGGCAAAGCACATTTGTATGATTCAAGAGATCTAGCAGAATTTTAAAATCTCATTGATTACTGATGAAAGTTATTAGAAAAAAAAGAAAAATCACATGTAGTTCACATTGTATTTGTATTGCATTTCTATTACAGTTAATCAGCTGTTCCCAATAAGCTGATTGCTAGCAAAGTAGCAGATAGAAAACCTACTGGGAAATTTTTTTATGGTCATGTCCACAGCAAATGAGAAACTGCATTCTAAAAGCCTTGGTAATGACCATTATACCCTCAAGCAAATAACTTATGGTTAAGATAAAAACCATTACTTGCCATAATTACTTTGGCTTCTGTCATCTCCTTTTAATATGGGTATACTGATGAAGACTTCAAAATTCACCTATGGAAAAATGTGAATTTCAAATTTATATTTATTAAGTACAGAAATCTATCTTTCCGAATGAGGTTGCTTAGGTTCCAAATTATCCTAAAACCTGGCACCCCAACTAAGGTATTGAAAATTCCATGCTTAAAATAGCTATTTAAACCAAGAGGTATTTTTAAAAACAATGATCCCATGCCCATTCACATCCGAATTTTCTCTATGATCATGTTTCTGGTTAACTTTTACCTTCAAATACAATGGAATATTTAATGTAAATGGATGTTCAGAAAGGCCATTTTCATTCAGCCCGTTCAGAGCAGTTGAACATTTCGCCCATCATCATAACATCGTTAATAATCGAGTTTAAACACGTAATAATGTAAGTCTAGTCTTTTTTTACTCCTAAGTGGTGACAAATGTTGCAATAGCATTACTAGATAAATAAATATAACCTAAAATAACACTTGGAGAAAAGCTAGTATTCAACAAAATAACCTGCATGGCCTTTTAAGTAATGAAGTAACTTACCAAGAATCTTTGGGATCTAATTTCTTCAACCAATTTACTTTAGGGTCCTAGAAGTTGAATTGTACAAAGTACAAATATTTTGACACCTGATCCAAGACACAGTCATGTACATTACAATGTTTCAGTCAATAGATAGCATACAAAAGAAAGTGGTCCTATTAAGAGCTGAAAATTCCTTATTACCTAAATAATAACATAGAAACTTAGAAGTAACATATAGAATAACACAGAAACATACAGAAATAATATCGAAATAATAACAAACAATAGAAACTTATTGTTTCTAATATTGAAAAGTCAACATTTTTCTCCCACATATTTTACTCATAAGCATGGCAAAATGTTACAGGTCTCATTGTCACCACTGCAATATGCATACTGTGATGGAAGCATAACCTGTCTCAATGTAGCCACATTAACTATTTTTGGACACCATGATGATCAACAGTGCCCATTCTCATCTAGAATGAGGCATTGTAGAAGTTTCTTTAAAGCTTAGTAAAGTGTATTTGTACGAATTCCTTGTTACGCTGGCAATGCTACCAATAGAGGGAAACAAGCAGAATCAATATTAACAGAGAATCTTACCTTTTCATTGTAGGTGGTGGGGATCTGCCTGGTTCTCAATTTGACACCCTGGAAAAAGAAAAGCATTGCTTACTATTTTAGAGTATATCAAACTGAACACTGAGGAACCTATACAAATACTGTATCAATAGAAATACCAGGTTTAACAAGCACAAAGCCAAGAAAACCAACGATGCCAGATACTGAATTTCTATAGCACTGACCTTTGAACACCCTAGCAGGAGTAAACTGCTGAGTGCAGATACCATGCAGTGCAATTATGACTGAACTGTCACATTCATATTCATATTCGTATTCCAAATGTGCAATGTTTCTACTGAGAAATGCTTTCACAAACCTCTCAATTCAAGTTCCTTTAACAAGTACAATAATTTGACCTTTTTTCCTAATTGTCACTGTAATAAGCTGCATTAACTGTATTTTAAGCTACAACTCTAGTCTTTTCCTAATCTTTGCCCAGTCTCTATATAACTTACAGATGGAATATATACATGTAACTTAACAGATCAAGCAGACTACAAATGTGAAGCTCATTGTTGCTCAAACTGCCAGTTACACAAACCTCTTTTAATGTAATTCATATCCCTATTGATTCAACATATCCATACAGGTTTACGTGACTTTAGGATGAAGTATGTGTAACTGCCAGTTCAATAACAATGCAAAGAACACAGATAATTTCATTTGGTAGGTCTAGACATGCAGTCTCTTCATTTTCCTTCTCTATACAAATATATAGTAACATTTTTGCCAGTATCTTACTAATTCTGTGTTATACCTGAAATACTGGGATGGTGTACTTAATTTCTATTTTTCATCTTTTGAGTCCTTGATTATTAAAAGTTAAATATTTTACTTACCTCTCAACATGAATGAGTTCAAATCACATTCATTCCTATAGAAAGTACCAATTAAAGATTTAGAAAGGATATATTTCCAGTTATTAAAACTAATACCCAAGTATAAATTTAAGATCCAGTTTTATATAGCCACATCCAGCTCTGTCAGAATTAAGTTTTAGTTCATGCCCTTATCATTCAGCAGTTGAACAGTTAAATTCATCATCTGAACTGTAATTATATTTCCCAAAAGATTATACTGTCACCAATTAAAACTTACCTAAGCGATCACTCAAGAATGGTACAGATGTGTGGTATATGCCAATACCTAAGGTAAAAAAGTAGATTATCTGGTTTTTCATAACGTTTAGTAACTGTCTTTTTCAAACTTTTAGCAACTGTCTTGTAGTTCCTTCCCACAGATCTAACAATAGTCCTGTGAGTAAAGTAAAACCACAGAGTTACTCTATGAGGCGTTTCCAACGACGTGCAGGCCACAGGAAAAGCCCCATCGGGATAGACCTCAACCACTATTACAAGGTTTTGATTTTTTTTTAAAGACACAGGATCTGCCGTGTCTTTTGAAAATCGTGTGATTCTTGCTGAATCGCTTGAGCCCAAGGGTTTGAGGCTACAGTGAGATGTGGCAGGATCACATCTCATTGTAGCCTCGAACCGCTGGGCTCAAGGGATTATCCTGCCTTAGCCTCCAGAGTAGCTGGGGACCGCAGGCACCACTGTGCCCAGCTAGTATTTATATATATAAATAACAAAGTCTAACACTCCATAGAAAAAATTATGAGCAGAAACTGCAATATGCTCTTACAATATTGCAAACTGTAAAAACTTCCTACCACCTTAATCACAAAAACAATAATTTCACAATCACATTGTGCTTAGGAGCCAGAGGAATGAAAAATAAAAATAAATACCATCAAGTAGCTCCTGTAGATGAGCCAAAGGAAAAGGATTTAAACTTAAGATTTAAGTTTAAAGCATAACTGTTGTTATGAACTTCAATACTGCAAATAGAGGATGTTGTTTTCCCATTTCAAAGATTTCAGCAAATTTTAATTCTTGGCTCAAAATTAGTTGTCATCCATTATAAAATACAGGAAAATGTGCCTGTAAGTTATGACTTTGGCATTATATAACTTTTAATCAAACTCTGCATCATTCAAATTTATGAATTCTTATGACCTATGTAATCTTTTATTATACTATATCTTGCATTAAACCATAAAATCCTCTACCTCACTTTAGATTGTACATTAATACAAAATAATGTTGTAGGCTTCAAGTAGGAATTCCAAAGTTCTGATTATTGCTACAAACTAACAAATTCAGAACCCTCTAATGCTTGCAACTAAAATGAATCTGACATATCACTAAGAAGAATCTAGGATTCTTCTTTTCAGAAATCAATATAATTGAGAATTAAAAGTATGGTAGAAATGTCTCTGAATAAAATGAAACTTGCTTGCTCTGACAACATACTGTTTCCTACACATAAATATGTGGCAACTCAAATTGAGACATACCTTTAACTCCAGACATCATGTTCTCAAGATAAAAGCCTTTAAAACAAAAAGCCATCATATATATCGTCAACATGAAATCGGAATGCAAAATTAATACTGCTGAGGATTTCCCTCATATCCCATGCTGTTTATCTATTCTACAGTCCTAGAATCAACCTTTTTTTCTTAAGAGACAGGGTCTGTCTGTGTTACCCAGGCTGGAGTAGTGATGCCATCAAAGTTCAGTGCAGCCCCCAATTCTTGGGCTCAATCCTTTTGCCTCAACCTCCCCTTTCTGAGTAGCTCCAACTACAGGCACATGCCCCAATGCCCAGCTAATTTTTCAATTTTTGTGGAGATGCCCAGGCTGGTCTTGAACTCCTGGTTTCAAGCAATACTCCCACCTCAATGTGGGGACTACAGACTTGAGCCATTGCACCTGGCCTGGAACCAACCTTTATAACTGTCTCAGGTATCATAATATCCCTTCTTATATGTATCAAAACTCATACTGAACAATGAGTTCTGGGTTGCAAAAGAGGATTTATTTTTTGCACCTATCCATAAGTCTTTGTCCACATTAAACAAAAACATACGTTAAGTGCAGTCCTAAAATGCACTAGAGTAGTCAGCTTTATCGTGGTGATCAAAATAATGAACATTGGGGTAATCACTGTGGTTCTCCCTGTGTGTACATGTTAAATAAATGTGTATGCCTTTTCTTGAACTAATAAAGTGAAAATGGTAGTTCAAAGTAATATTAGTCCAGGTGCCGTGGCTCACGCCTGTAATCCCAGCACTTTGGGAGGCCAAGGCAGGCAGATCGCCTGAAGTCAGGAGTTCAAGACCATGGTGAAACCCTGTCTCTACTAAAAATACAAACATTAGCTGGGTGTGGTGGCTAACGCCTATAATCCCAGCTACTCAGGAGGCTGTGGCAGAATTGCTTAAACCTGGAAGACAGAGGCTGCAGTAAGCCAAGACTGCACCACTGCACTACAGCCTGGGTGACAGATCAAAACTGTCTTTAAAAAAAAAAGAAAAAAAGTGTTAAAGATACTCTAAAATTGGGAAGGGAAATGAGGTTATTACAATACTAAACATCTGACAGGTCACTTTTGTCATGTCTGAACAAAGCTGGAATAAGAGCATTTCAAATACCCTCTTCAAGATGGTTGGGTGTCAAGTTATTTTGTCTAAGATTTTCTTTTCAAAATTAAAATCACTACACTTCACTGTTTTAATACTCACAGGACACCTGTAAGCTCTTATTCAGAAATCAACTGACAATTTTTCAAATTTTTCTATGTATTTTCTCTGGTGTTTTAATGGTTTTTTTTTCTAATTATTACTACTTCACAAGTTTCTTTCACAAACTTCTTCACAGGGTTGAAATTTTTTTTGTTATAAAGTTCTGGGTTTCAGCATTTCTTCACCACCAGACTGGTATATATATATCCACATCTATCATCTTTATTCATTTCTATGAAGTTGTTTTTTCTATATGCTTCACCTTTGACATTCATGATCCTGTCACATTTTCAGGGCTCTCTGTCCAGTATTTTTGGCTTTTGTAGCTCTCTTTTTAGACAAAGCAGCTTCTTCAGTACTATCCTCTTCTTCTAAGTATACACTCAGTCTTACAGGGAATTCAGAACTTACTATGAAACTATCCCCCTGCATAAAACAAACAAACAAAAAAATCATGGATTAAGCAGTAACTCAAATGGCTTAGTAATTACATATAGCTGAGTGCCCTGGATTTCTTCAGATAACCTAGAGACTACATGTAGATGTTAAAAATCTAAATTAACATCTGCTTATTTTTTCATTTGATATCCTAACTAGCAATATTACGTATCAGAATGCTATTTATTAAAAATAGTACTGGAAACCCCATGTTCTTTATCAAGTCTCTAAAAAATTAGTATTTTCCTTCCTGCATTTCCTGCAGGAAACTTACTGAGCTTTTCAAAAGTTAAATGAAGTGTAAGAGAAAAACTAAATACAATTCCTTCTGTACCAACCAACTCCTGCCTTCCCAAAATGGAACAGAAAAAAAGTCACTTACTGCCAATTTGATATCACATTCATTATCTTCAAGATGTTTTGCATCCTCATCCTCTGCTCTGTAACATTAAAATTTATCATCATTGAGATGACAGAATCTTCTATGACCTCATTAGCTGTATATTCCACTCTGAAAACTGAAACTGCAATACTAGTCAAGCAAACAAAATTTGAGAATGCTGTGTTCTAGAGAATTCTAGATGTATTGTGTGCTAAGCTTGGCTCAACTGTAATAATCCCAAGTGTCATACTCTATCTTTGTTCATTATTTAAGTATAACTATATTAAAGGCAAAATATGAAGCAATTAACATAAAATTTAATTTATAACCTATTTCATATGATTCCACTTACGCTGACTCCTCAATAGGAGAAATGGATCCATCATCATCCAAAAATTTGTATCTACGACTATCAAAATCTTCATTTTCTAAATCTTCACCAACATCCATTTGTTTCAATGATTCTTTCAGGTGGTGTTCATACTTCAGTTTTTCAATGTAGTTAAAAAATCCTCTTGCAACAGCTTGCTATATATTAAAAACACCGTAAGTATGTCAACATTTTTCTTTCACAACCCAGCAAGTGCCAATGTTCAACACCCCCCTTACCAAAGACTCTGAATTTGCTATCTTAACTACTCCCCACTTGTGGATATATCAAATGCTGTTTATTAAAATTCACATTACAATTATAAACTTACCTAAGCTGGTACCAAGGAAAAGTGAAGTAGTACGTATCTTGTCATGCCTGGGACTTACTAAAGGCATTTTAAAATGTAAAAACAGGAATAAGATTTCTAATGTTTAATCACCTTAAGAGATTAGCTGAAGAGATTAACATGTATTAATCCTCCCAGATAAAATTTCAGGTTCTGGCAAGAACCTGAAACTCTGCATTCATTCAACATACAACTCTCAAATATTTAAAAAAGTCTACTCCTAAGTATTAAGGTATTTTTCAGATGACTGGCTTAGAAACACCTAGGCCTTAAGAATGTATCCACTGAACATAAGGCATGTGTGGTTTTGGGTTTAGGTTACTGCAAAAATAATTTCATGTGAGCTTTTATTATCCCTACTGAGTTTTAGGGTTGTGTTTAAGACCTGAGATGGGATGAGATCAAAGCATTTTATACAAACAGCCTTGGAGCACTATCTTTTAAATCTGGCCAAAGTGTAGTAATTGAAGAGATACAAGTCAAGTTTCAGTTAAAGGATGGGGTGGACTTTAGGGGGAAGTCAGTATAGAGGAGTATCGAAATTGCAGACAGTGTGTTCCCAGCATATCTGAGACAATTCTAAACTGGCCAACAAATCATTTTGGGCATCTGAGTTATGTGTAGCCATATATATAAAATGCTGACTCACCTCAAACGTTAAAATTTTTCTCCAAGGTGGGTTTTTTTCATTCTCTGATTCTAAAAACGGGAAGCCAGATCCTTTGCTTCTAAATTGTTTCTTCTTATCTATTAGTGAGGATATAGGATTTCTCCTTCCTTCTGGTCTTCCCCTTGGTCTTCCTGTCGGCTGGTACCTCTTCTTTTTCTTTTTTTTGTACTTCTTTTTCCTGTTCTTGAATCTTTCAAAAATAGCTTTTATAGTCAATGGTATTGGTTCAAAAGATGAGTCACTTGATGAATCACTTGCGTGAACACTTTCAGGTGTACGAACAAATTTTCGATTGGGGTTTCTTTTCCCCCGTTTAGGTGAGTAAGGGATACACTGAGTTTTAAATAAGCTGGTATCAGAAGAGTTATCACTAGAAAAATGAGAAAAAAATTAATTTCCTCTTCTTTTCTTACTGAATGCTTATTACCAGTAATACCCAGTCCCAAATGTACATTTCTTCCAAGACCAACTCAGGAAAACATATCCAGAATTAAAAATTTTTTAAAGGATGGGCTCAGAACCAGCTGCCTTTCTGCTGACCATCCTACTTAAATAGCTCATAAAGCTACAGCTCTTATTAAAAAGAGTTTTGTAGACATCGTCTTGCTGTTACCCAGACTGGAGTAGTGGTGCAATCACAGCTCACTGCAACCTCAAACTCCTGGAACTCCAGGGATGCTCCTGACTCAGCCTCCCAAGTAGCTAGCTAGGACTAATGGCATGCACCACTGTGCTCAGCTTAGAAAAAAACTATGTATCTTTCAAGATAACGTATGAGCTCCACAAAGGCTGTATGGTTCGGTTCACTGCTAAGAGTGAGTAAAACAAACAGAGCCTACCGGACAGAAACAGGAAGAGGTAGTCTGGAAGAGATGCTAATATGACCCAAAGAATACATTTTTTTCTTGAAGAATGTGTCCCATTATAATATATTCACATTTTGAATTTAAAGTATTTGCAATGCTATTATCAATCTACATTAACTAGATAAACTTGGAAGGTCAGTGAAATCTGGTTTTCCTTCTTTCCCAATTCCTGAAAATCATCTTTACTGTCACTCATTATATACAATAATTTCTCATAATTCAGATACAATAAATATGATTGAATCCACTCAGTTCTCCAGTAAAAACCCACTTACCTTTGATTTGCAAGTTCCATAGCATCAGATGTCACATGGTCAGGAGAATCTATTCCTGATTTATCCATCAGTTGCTTTGTTTTATAACAGTTTTCTGAAATTATGAAATTTAGTAAATGTTACAAAGCTTCCCTAAATATTGACACAGTATCTACTATAGTATTCAACATGGTCAGACTATGCCACTGGTTTTAGGCAAAATCATTTGCCGGGGTTAAGCTTCTTATCCATTTCAGATCAATTTCTTTAAAAAGAAATCCAGAAATTCTATTCACAGGTTCTTTCAGTTTTTACCCTCTAATTGTATTCAATGGAACAAGATTCCAAAAAAGTACTGTCACTTCCAAAAAAAGCATCTTTCAATATAAGTAGAAAATAGTTTTATCATTAGCCACTTACTAACGTGCAATTACCAATACAGTATTAATGTAAAATTAAAAACCATTTTCCAAGATCAAAGAGGGAATTCCTAAGGCAAAATGTGCCCTATATAAACCAGGAAAAGGATCTCCAATCAACAGACCATTTTAAACTCCTGATCACCTCTCCATTATAATTCCTAGATTCTTCATTCCTAGATTCATTTAAGTAACTGAACTTTGTCATACTGTATCTTTGCCATTATTGGTGGAAACTGACAAGTTCTGAATTCTCAACCTTTTTCAATAAACTATCATAATTCTTTGTGTTTTCATCCCCATGGTAGAGAGTATACAACATGCCAAAAAAAGAAAAAGATTCCTTCTTGTGAGCTAAAAGAAAAAACAAAAACAGGTTGGTCTGGGTGGCTCAGGCCTGTGTAACACAGCACTTTGGGAGGTCGAGGCGGACGGATCGCTTGAGCCCAGGAGCTCAAGACCAACCTGGGCAACGTGGTGAAACTCCGTCTCTACAAAAAATACAAAAATTAGCCGGGCTAGTGGCGCGCGCCTGTGGTCAGGAGGCTGAGGTAGGTGGAATACCTGAGCCTGGGAGGTGGAAGTTGTATGTAGTGAGCCTCAGCACACAAGGAGACCCTTGTCTCTACAAAAAAATTCTTAAGATACTGGCTAGGTGTGGTGACCCGTGCCTGTGCTCCCAGCCACTCGGGAGGATCGCTTGAGCAGAGGTGGAGGTTGCAGTGAGCCGAGATTGCACCACTGCACCCCAGCCTGGACGACAGAACAAGACCCTGTCTCAGAAAAAAAAAAAAAAAGAAAGAAAGAAAAAAAAAACAATAGGCATGGCAACAAAAATTAAAGATAACTACTTATTTCACTATTGTACTTGCCTTAGTCAATCTCTTGTCTCATTCTGTAGCTTCTTGGGACCTAACATGAGTCATTGCATATAAATCCTAGAATGAACTAGCAAAATATTTAAAATATAAAACGATAAGGTTACCAAGAGCTCAGATTTGTTAAATGCCCAATGGACCCCTGTGGTAACTTTCTGGTAGTACGTCTTATTAGCTTTCTTAAGTACAAGATTCTACGAAGTCATTATATATCGAATGCTCAAAAACGGAATTCAACAAAAATTTGGCCCCATGCATTAATGGTATACCTGTGGTTAATTTCTTTTTAAAGTAGGGATTATCAAAATAAAGCTAGCTCAAGAATCACTTTTTTCTTAGTGTTTAGAAGACACTCCTACTTGGGTGTCGATGCCTCCGCTGGAATTCTGCAATTCTTAGAGGCCACGTGGGCAGAAAGCGGCGCTTTACCCGGAGCTAATTCTGTGACCACCAGCGCGTCTCTCCGGGCAGCGCCTAACCTCCAGGAAACCGGCGCTATCAATGGGTACCTCACATATGAAGGTTAAATCATTTAAATTACGTAAGAAGGTTCAACTTGTCTGCAACACGTTTTAACACCTCCATCTCAAGATATAATGAAGCCCGCCCACACTACAACCACGTTTGTGGGCCTCATACCAGCCGCGTGGCGTGGAGTGGCCTGCAACCGTGATCCTTTCACCCTCTCGGCCCGACTTCCGAGGCTCGATCCTCCGGAACAACGCAGGGGCCGAAACCCCAGATATGCAATGCCTCCCCTGCCCAACAAGCCCAGACGGCCTTGCCCTCTTGGCAACCTACCTAAAACCGCCTCACACCGGCCCCAACCGCGCACTTGCTGCCAGTAACCCAGGCCTCGGGCCAAAACCTGCGACTGGCCTGGTGCGTGAGTCCTGGAGATTTGCACACACCACCCTCCCGATTTCAGTCCTCTAACTCCAGAAAACCAGCCGATATCCTCCAACCGCGCGGAAGAAAAGGGTGGGATATCCCCGCGGCCCAAGTAATAGTCAGGCAGAAATCTCGCGATACAATTTAGCTCCCGGGAAGAAGGCGAGCGGTGGGAGGAGACGCGACGCGGGGGCGCCATTTTTCTCGCCGCGCAGGGAGGAGCGACTAACGTGGGCGGAGCTGTAGCTCGCGTACTCTGAGGAGGCGGGGTTGGCGTAGGCGGAGATCCGGACTCCGGTGTTTTGCTTGCGTGACCGATTCGGTGAGTGGAATAGCCAAGAACATTTCGGCAAATAACAAAAAGAAAATGTGCGGTCAATTGTGAGTGGATGAGAACTGCGAGGAAACAGCCTCTCAGCCCGGGTCGTTTCCGGTGGTCTCGCGTTTGCTGAGCTGTCGCCTGGCTTTCTAAACCTGGTCCCGAGTGTGTGGTGAGGGTGACGGGTGGGATGTGTGCCTGAGTGTTTTGTCATCCTGTGTCTACTTTTGCCTTCAAAACCCTTGTGTGTGAAAATATTCGGGAAGGTTACTCGAAGTTTGTAACCTTTGTGCTGGACGCCAGTGTTATTCCGTAGCACGCCCAGGTCTCCTCCCCACCTTTGCACCTGTTTCGGGAGCGCACCCTTTCTGCCTCCCAGGAATTGGCTAACACGTCACAAGTGAGACCTGTGGAGGATTTCTTTTTCCTAAGTTTCCTCCTACATCCCCCCGCCTCCCACCGTTAGTTCCTTGACCGGTTCCTGAGTTAAGATTAAGCAGTGTAGGCCGGGCGCGGTGGCTTAAGCCTGTAATCCCAGCACTTTGGGAGGCCGAGGCGGGCGGATCACGAGGTCAGGAGATCGAGACCATCCTAGCTAACATGGCTTAAAAAAAAAAAAAAATTAGCCAGGTGTGGTGGCGGGCGCCTGTAGTCCCAGCTACTCGGGAGGCTGAGGCAGGAGAATGGCGTGAGCCCGGGGGACGGAGCTTGCAGTGAGCCAAGATCGCGCCACAGCGCTCCAGCCTGGGCGAGAGTGCGAAACTCCGTCTCAAAAAAAAAAAAAAAAAGATTAAGCAGTGTAAACTAGTTTTGGTGGGGTTTTTTTTCTTCGAAAGTTTTTTGTTTTGTTTTTTTTTTTGCTTTTTTTTTTTTTTTTTTTTTTTGAGGCCGAGTTTCGCTCTTGTTGCCCAGGCTGGAGTGCAATGGCACGATCTTGGCTCACCACAACCTCCGCTTCCCGGGTTCAAGCGACTCTGCTGCTTCAGCCTCCCAAGTGGCTGAGATTACAGGCATGCGCCACCATGCCGGCTAATTTTTTTTTGTGTTTTTAGTAGACACAGGGTTTCTCCATGTTGGTCAGGCTGGTCTCGAACTCCCGACCTCAGGTGATCCGCCCGCCTCGGCCTCCCAAAGTGCTGGGATTACAGGCCTGAGCCACCGGCCTCCCAAAGAAATTTTAAAAAGGAATGAACTGGTTTGATTTTTCTGGTTTCAAACTTCTGTTTTCATAAGCTAAACCACAAAAACCAGTAAAGCTATCTAGTCTTATTTTATAGTTTACATCATTTTAGGATAGAGCGTGCCTTAAAAGTAATCTGGTCTCTTTACCCTCCTTTGCTCCATAGATTGGACAATTTCGGGGATAAAAAGTCTGACACTGCATTTGATCCACAGGGGCTGGGCAGTGAGTAAGCTCCAGGACTGGTATAGCATGTCCCTCACTGCCATATTCAGCAGCAAGCCTAGCTGTGTAATTTGTGAGGCTCAATGCAAAATGTAAATGCAGCGTCCCTTGTCCAAAAAGAAGGGGAAAAGTGGTATTAAAAGGAAGGAACAATTAATTCCTAATGCAGAATCACTGAAATTTCACATTTCATTTTGTTTTTTTTGTTTGTTTGTTTGTTTGTTTTGTAAGAGACGGAGTCTTGCTCTGTCGCCCAGGCTGGAGTGCAGTGGCCCGATCTCAGCTCACTGCAACCCCCACCTCCCAGGCTCAAGAGATCCACCCACCTCAGCTTCCCAAGTGGCTGGGACTACAGGCGCCCGCCGCCACACCCAGCTAATTTTTGTACTTTTAGTAGAGACCAGGTTTCACCATGTTGGCCAGGCAGGTCTCAAACTCCTGACCTCAAGTGATCCACCTGCCTCGGCCTCCCAGTGCTGGGAGTACAGGCGTGAACCACCGCGCCCGGCCACATTTCATATTCCTTTGTTTGTTTTATAGAGACGGTCTTGCTCTGTCACCCAGGCTGGAGTGCAGTTGAAGCAAGATATTTCTCAGACCCCTTCGCGGTTCTTGGGGCTGCGGTGTCTCCCTTTCTCAGCCCGCAGCTCTCGACTCCTCGCGGGAGGGGGCGCGCGAGTGAATGAGGTGGGAACTGGAGTGCTGGAAGCCAGGAACTCCAGTCACTCAGGCCTGCTGCGCCCCACCCTTTATGGGAGGGTGCGTGGGGGTGAGCAGATGCTGGAGCCCGAGCGAGTGGTCTCCTGCAGGAGTGAACTCCATGCAGGCCGTGCGGCTGTGTCTGAGGGATGCCCGCGGCTCCTGAAGACCCACAACCTGTCTCACAATCTGTCATGGTTGTGAAAAGTTGAGAGAATGTCTGCACAGGGTCTAACGGTGTCTGGTACACAGTGTGCACTCAAATGGTAACCAGTTTAGTTGCGATAGTTGGTCTACCCCTTCAGGTGTTAACCTCTGCAGCTCCATTTCGTTTCTAGACCCTATTTCTGGGCCATCGCCTCCCACCAATTAGGCAGGAAAATATTGTTTGCCTCTATCTGGCCCAAGGCTGTGTTCCTGGAGTTTATGTGAGAACCTAACCCCTTTCTCAGCTCCAACTGTAACCCTCTCCCCACCTCCAACACACACATACACGTGCTACCACACTGCCTACAGTGCCATCACCCTGCCTGAAGTTCACCTCATTTTAGGATTGGGCGAGCCTTCATAATTTAAATTTTATTATGAAAAAGTGATAGGCTAAGGAACTCATTTAATTTTTTGTCTAAATGTCAAATATAGAGTAGAAAGCTCAAATATCTGTTATAGAAATACTTGAGAGTCCTGTATGCACTGTTATCCACAACCATTTAAACACTTATCCACAAATCCCTAGTAAGGACCCCTAATAAGTACATTTCTAAACCAGTTATTCAAGCTACATCCTCCCAGGATTGAACTTTGTTTCTACTTTGGTAGGGGCATAAATAAACAGAAACAACTGACCTAACTTTTTACTAAAGAAAAGAGATAATAAAGGGAATACAATTAAGATTACATTTGGATTTTAACTTGTGTTTTTATTCCTACTGCCAGCAAAAATATCTAAAGTGCTTTTATTATCATTATAAATGAATATACTATTCATTGTGCAGATTTTGATGTGTTCATAAATAAGTACCCAATGTTTGTTTGATAAAGAATGTGATAAAATGTTAACATTTGGGAAATCTGGTGAAGAATATACAGGAATTATTTGTATGTAATATCTGTTAATCTGAAATTATTTAAAAGAAAAAGTTAAACTGTCTCATTCCTGAACAATTATAAATTATTCAACCCAAAACTGAAGGGGGCCTGCCCCTCCACTTGTGTGGGTATTTCTTGTCAGGTGGGACAAGAGACTGAGAAAAGAAATAAGACACAGAGACAAAGTATAGAGAAAGAACAGTGGGCCCAGGGGACTGGCACCGGCACTGGTCTCCGAGTTCCCTCAGTATTTATTGATTACTATTTTCACTGTCTTGGAAAGGGGAGTATGACAGGACAACAGGGTGATGGTGGGGAGAAGGTCAGCAGGAAAACGTGAGTAAAGGAATCTGCGTCATAAATAAGTTCAAGGGAAGATACTGTGCCTGGATGTGTACATAGGCTGGATTTATGTTTCTCTTTACCCAGACATCTAAGTGTAGCAAAGAGTAACAGAGCAGTATTGCTGCCAGCATATCTCCCCTCCAGCCACAGCATGGTTTTCTCCTGTATCAGAATAGAACGAATAGTCGGCTTTACACGGAGACATTCCGTTCCCAGGGATATGTGGGAAACAGAGGCCTTCCTCTTATCTCAACGGCAAAGAGGCCTTCCTCTTTTACTAATCCTCCTCAGCACAGACCCTTTATGGGTGTGGGGCTGGGGGACGGTTAGGTCTTTCCCTTCCCACGAGGCCATATCTCAGGCTGTCTCAGTGGGGGGAAACCTTGGACAATACCCAGGCTTTCTCGGGTAGAGGTCCCTGCAGCTTTCCGTGGTGCATCATGTCCCTGGTTAATAGAGAATGGAGAATGGCGATGACTTTTACCAGGCATACTGTCTGCAAATATATTGTTAACAAGGCACATCCTGCACAGCCCTAAATCCCTTAAACCTTGATTCAATACAGCACATGTTTCTGTGATCACAGGGTTGGGACTAAAGTTACAGATTAACAGCATCTCCAATCAGAACAATTTTTCTTTGTACAGATCAAAATGGAGTTCCTTTTGTCTTCCTTTTCCGCATAGACACAGTAACAGTCTGATCTCTCTTTTCCTCACACAAAACTATGTTTAAAATAATTTAAGTATGATTATGTAAGATTTGGGGGCCGGGCGTGGTGGCTCACGCCTGTAATCCTAGCACTTTGGGAGTCCGAGGCAAGTGGATTGCTTAAGCTCAGGAGTTTGAGACCAGCCTGGGCAACATGGTGAAACCCTGTCTCTACTAAAATACAAAAAATTAGTCGGGCGTGATGGCACACGCCTGTAATCCCAGCCACTTCGGAGACTGAGACAGGAGAATCACTTGAACCTGGGAGGCGGAGGTTGCAGTGAGCCAAGATGGTGCCATAGTGCACTCCAGCCTGGGTGACAGAGCGAGACTCCATCTCAAAAAAAAAAAAAGAGATTTGGGACGCTTTATAAACAGTTATATATATTTGGGAGATTAGATTACATATATTAAATCAAGAACAATAAAAGCTGGTATTTGATAAAGTACTGAAGTAAATGTAACATCCTAAATGTATGTAATAGAATGGTTATAGAGGATATGTTGTTGAAAAGTACTGGAACTAGAAACCCAGTTTCTAAACAACCTACAAATCTTTGGAAAATTAGAAAAAAAATTTAGAAGAATATTTCAGATGACTGAAGATCACCTTTCCACTTGCTAAATAGGCATGTTAAGGGCAGAGGCCACTCAGATTAATGAAGTGTTCTATTAACAATTTTAATGAGAACTCCTGCAGTACTCTTAGAAACACCCTTAAGAGTCTTGTCTGTGTTCCCTGTTGTGATTGGCCTGGAGTAGGATACCTGTCTACCTCATATTACTTGTATTTTTCCCTGCCTTCATTTTATCTCCCTCTGGTTGCACACTTCATCACTGAACACTTAAGGTAAGATACTAATCTCTGTGTATGTGTACTTATTTGTTACAAAGTATACTTGGCATATATTTTATTTTTTAGTTGCAATGATAGAAAAGCATATATTTAACTATCAAATTATAATTGGGTAGATTATCAGAATTGAACATTAAATCTGTTTACCAAGAAAGTATATTTATTTGTAAATGAAAATAAAAATTTGAATTTCAAAGGCTAATCATTCCATAAAAGTTTCCATTCGTATTTGTAATTTAAATTTTATTTTGACAAAATGATAGTCTAAGGAGCTCATTTAATTTTTGGCCTAAATGTGAAATATAGAATAGAAAACACATATCTATTATAGAAATACTTGCGATCCTATATGTACTGTACAAATCCTATATGTACTGTTATCTACAACCATTTAAAAACACTTATCCATAAACTCCTAATAAGTACCTTTTGCTTCAAGACCTATATTCCTTAGACCAACCATTAGAAAATTGGATGTTCACTCCAGCTCTATGATTTTAAAAAAGAAAATGAATTGGCCGGGAGCAGTAACTCACACTTGTAATCCCAGCATTTTGGGAGGCAGAAGTGGGAGGATCGCTGGAGACCAGGAATTCAGGATCAGCTTAAGCAACATAGCAAGATCGTGTTTCTATTAAAAAATTAGTTTTAAATTTTAAATTAAAATAAAATAAAGTATAAGTATTAAAAGGTCACTTGTCTGTTTCTCACTTGGAATATTAAATACTGGAAGCTGTGTTTGCCTTTTTGTGAAGATAGAAACCTAAATGCCCTTTTGTTCTGTTTATATGTTTGAATGCTAAAGGTTCATTTCCAAAACAGAAGCAGTTCATACTTGGTGCACTGTGGACTCTTGTGATAATTAACCAAGAGTAACACTATTTGTCCAACCTCACACCTAAAGAAGAAAGAAAATGACTTGTGCTGAGTTTTCTTTTCATGTACCAAGTCTAGAAGAGCTTGCTGGAGGTAAAAACAATATTAACTTTGGATTTTTAAAAATTATCCCAAGAGAAAATTCTTTTAAAAAGATTCTAAGATCTATCTATATCTTACTACTTACCTATATCTATATCTTACTTATCAAAATAATACTTTTGGTATGGAATTCATTTTCCATTTCAGTTTCTGTTCTGTCCCATTTTTATTGAGAAAATCCAAAATTCTGTCCCTCCAAAAAAACTAAAATTATAATTTATAAATTCTTTTTTCTTTCACTTACAGATTATTGATGATACCAACTTTACATGATGTAAATGATTAGTAATCCAAGACTTAAGCATGTGTGATGCCCAAAGAGTTGCACAATTTTGCTTTACTTTTTTCACTTACATTATTCTTTAAATGTATATTCTACTGTTGTATGTTAATCGTATTCCCAATATAATTCCCCCACACCACTGATAATGGCAGACTGCCAGTGAACTTGCTTTGATTTCTCTCTGTGTTTATTTTTATATATTTCACCTTGTTCAAACAAGTATTTAAGGCAGTTTCCCAAGATAAATTAGGAGGGAAGATAGGCACAAAAAGGAAAACAAAAACGGGCACACAAAATGAAGCCAGGAATAGTTCTTATCCAAAACTGTAAAGTCTGTCAGAATACCAACCTTTATGTGACAACCTCTAGGTTCTGTTCTGATGGTAACTATATACCTTCCCTTGTTTCTCAAAATGTGTTGTTCTGGTAGTTCGTTTGTCATCCTGATAAGGTCGAAGTCAAGAAATAGACTCATTTTTGCTTTGTTGTAACTTTTTTTATAATCTTATAATAATCTTATAATCTTTTTTTCCCCCCTAATTGAATGGTAGCTAGTAAACAATCTGTATTGTTTGGCCTGTATTTCTTTTTTATCAATCTGTCTTCCCTAATATGACAGGGTAGCCAGGAATTTTTTCTTTTTCTTTTCTCTTTTTGTAGACATAGGATCTTGCTCTTTTGCCCAGGATGCTCTTGAACTCCTGACCTCACTTGATCCTCCTGCCTCGGCCACCCAAAGTGTTGAGATTATAGGCATGAGCCACCATGCTTGGCCAGATTTTTTCTTTTATTACTTTTCTAGAACCTGTTTTCACTTTTGTGTTTGTTTCTCTTTTCCTTCTATATATGCAGGATATATTCAGTAAAAGTAGAAATTTTATGGCCTGGTACAGTGACTCATGCCTGTAATCTCAACACTTTAGGAGGCCGAGGTGGACAGATCACTTGAGGTCAGGAGTTCAAGACCAGCCTGGCCAACATGGCAAAACCCCATCCCTACTAAAAATACAAAAATTAGCTGGGCGTGATGGTGTGTGCCAGTAATTCCAGTTATTCGGGAGTCTGAGCCACAAAGAATCACTTGAACCCAGGAGGCAGAAGTTATGTTGAGCCAAGATCGTGCCACTGTACTTCAGCCTAGGTGACAACGTGAGACTCAGTCTCAAAAAAAAAAAAAAAAAAATTTGACCAGGTACAGTGGGCTCATGGCCTGGTAATCTCAGCACTTTGGAAGGCCGGAGGCAGGTGGATCACGGGTCAGGAGTTCAAGACCAGCTGGCCAGGCCGGGCGCGGTGGCTCAAGCCTGTAATCTCCAGCACTTTGGGAGGCCGAGACGGCGGATCACGAGGTCAGGAGATGAGACCTCCTGGCTAACACAGTGAAACCCGTCTCTACCTAAATACAAAGACAAAAAAAAACTAGCCGGCGGAGGTGCGGGCGCACTGGTAGTCCCAGTACCTCGGGGAGGGCTGAGCAGGAGAATGGCGTCGAACCCGAGGTGGAGTTGCAGTGAGCTGAGGTCCGGTCGACTGCATCCAGCCGGGTTGACACGGAGGCAAGACTCGTCTCAAAAAAAAAAAAAAAAAAAAAAGACCAGCCTGGCCAACATGGTGAAACCCCGTCTCTACTAAAAATACAAAAAATACCTGGGTGTGGTGGTGGGTGCCTGTAACCCCAGCTACTCGGGAGGCTGAGGCAGAAGAATGGCATGAACCTGGGAGGTGGAGGTTGCAGTAAGCCGAGATCGTACCATTGCACTCCAGCCTGGGCGACAGGATAAGACTCCATCTCAAAAAAAAAAAAAAAAAGAAATTTTGTAAGAACTTTTGATCCTTAAAAGTACATAGGCTGAGGCAGTGACTCATGCTTGTAATTCCAGCATTTGGGAAGGCCAAGGTGAGCAGATCTCTTGAGCCCAGGAGTTTGAGAGCAGCCTGGGCAACAAGCCAAAACCCCATTTTTATAAAAATTAGCCAAGCATGGTGGCACCCACCTATAGTCCCAGCTACTGGGGAGGTTGAGGTGGGAGGATTACTTGAGCCTGGAGATCAAGGCTGAGTGAGCCAAGATCGTGCTGCACACCACTGTACTCCAGTCTGGGCGACAAGGTGAGGCTATCAGAGTGAGACTCTGTCTCAAAAAAAAAAAAAAAAAAACACGTTGAGGCTAGGTGTGATGGCTCATTGTAATCCCAGCACTTTGGGAGACACAAGGCAGGAAGATCACATGAGCCCCAGAGTTCGAGACCAGCCTGGGCAATATAGAAAGACCTCGTCTCTACATATAAAAGAGAGAGAGGGAAATATTATCGGTCTTAAATTAATAACTTTGAGATACCTGTGCTTTTTTACGTTGTTATTGAGGTATAACTATCTACAGTAAAGTACACTAATCTTAAGTGTATAGCTTGATGAATGTTAACAATAGTTACACCTATGTAACTGCTATCCAGATCAAAATGTAAAATATTTTCAACATCCCAGAAGGCTCCTTTGCATACCTTCCCAGTCAGCCTTGATCCATTGCCTGTTTCTGAGATGCATAAAGTGAAGTAATATTGTATATAGTTTTTTGTGTCTGACTACTTTGTTCAATATTTTGTCTGTTACCTTCACTGAAGTTGTTACATGTGATTACTTACTTTTCAAAAAGTTTAAATGTTCACATTTCAGTTGGTTTTTGGAATCTTCTTTCAAAAAAGAAAGTAATCCTCATCCTCACACAAGTGCAGGCTGTTTATCTTCAACAGTTGGAAATCACTGTAGAGGAAGTATTTATGTATCTTAGTCTACATTGTACTATATGATTATGTCTAGTGTCTAGTTATATTCATTAATAAGACCATTTCCCCCTTTTTTTTTTTATTATACAAGTTGAGATTGGGAGTGTGTTGGGGGCACTTTTGATATGTGGTAGCTAAGTTTTTACATAATGTTAAATAATCTTATTCCTTGTCTTTATTAGTTATGCAGAAGGGGTTAAAAGATAACTTTGCTGATGTCCAGGTCTCTGTAGTTGATTGCCCTGATTTGACTAAGGAACCCTTTACCTTTCCTGTAAAAGGTAAGTAATTTTTGCAATTAGCTTTTGTTTTTTAGTCTAAATATTTTTTTTAAACTAGAATTATTTTTAAGGACATCTTAAATTATCTACAAATAAAGGATATTGTCACAACATTTAGGCTAAATTGTGCCAAATTTCTGTGCTCACTCTTCTGATATTAATTTCATTTCATACTCTTGTGGAAAAGGATTATGTTTTATGCAATTATGTAACCTTTACAGATTATAGAATAGATATCCAATAGGTTAGAATTCTTTGTATCACATGAGAGTTTTGCTTTTAGTTGCTCAGACTGTTATGGAAACTGATTTTAATTTTTATGGTTTTATTTATTCAAGACCAGAAGGGATCCTAAAAGCCTTGTATTTGAATAATCTATTAAAACTAATCCTTCAACAAATTTGCCAAGTGAGCATCCACTGTTTGAAGTGAGAAGGAAGGGAAATTAGTATTAGGAGAATAAAATAATTTGTCAGTGTGATAGATATTTATTTGATGTTTCAGTTTTTACAATAACACCGCAAGGTAAGTAGTAGCCCTGGTTTATAGATGAGAAAACTGAAAAGGAGAGAGGCTAGATAAGCTCAGTGTAAATCATAATCAGGATTCAAATGCAAGTCTGTCTCTTTCCAAAGTCTAACCCTCTCCCGTTATACCCTGTTATGATGAGGAATTTGAGAATAAGCACTCAGAGTGTTTTTTTTATTATGTAATTAACATCTTTGCTAAAAAGGAGTTTGCCATAGAAATTCTGGACTCCAGTTCTGTCTTAAACCTGACTTTGAGATACATTAACATGGGGGCATTTGAATTGAATGTTTTTTGGGGGCCTTTCTAGCTTAAACAATCTTTTATTTTAAGTAGAGCTGTAAATTCTAGAAGGCTTGTGTACCATATGGCAATGTCTTTTAACCTCTTCAAAGCATTTAGCATCTTTTTTTTTTTTTTTTTTTTTTTTTTGAAGACGGGAGTCGTCGCTCTGTCACCGCGAGGCTGGAGTTGCGTGGTGCGGATTCGTCGGCATCACTGCAACCTCCGCCTCCCGGGTTCAAGCAATTCTCATACCTCAGCCTGCCGAGTAGCTGAGACTACAGGCACATGCCACAACGCCTGGCTAATTTTTTGTATTTTTGGTAGAGATGAGGTTTCACCGTATTAACCAGGATGGTCTCAATCTCCTAACCTCATGATATGCCCACCTCGGCCTCCCAAAGTGCTAGGATTACAGGCGTGAGCCACTGCCTAAGAATTTACATTCTATTAGAAGAAAATATTTTAAATTAAAAATTAAAAAACAATTTTAGACCAAAAAAAAAAACAAAAACCACCCCAAAATAGATTTTTTTAAAGAAATAAGGCGTTAAAAACATTATAGAAACCTTACCCAATCCAAACTTTGGCCCCAGTTCTAACCCTTACCCTTGCCTTGTATTACCTTTATGCCACCAACTATATAAGCCATGCTTGGTTATGATGATATTAGAGACACAGGTACTTAAAACAGGACAGGGGTTCTAGCTACTTATGTCTTCCAATCCCTGTTATTTGTAAAACTTTATGAGAATGGAGAAGTTATGTACTGTTAATAAATTAAATTCATGTCTTCTGGCATTTTATTATTAAATTAGATGTTTGCCTATTTTTAAGATGGCTTGTGTTTTTGTTTTTTGGTTTTTTTTTTTAGGCATCTGTGGGAAAACTAGAATTGCAGAAGTAGGAGGTGTGCCTTACTTATTGCCTCTTGTAAACCAAAAAAAAGTAAGTACTTTTACTCTGCATGTTCACATGAAGATTGTAGAAGTTGGGTTGATTACTCTGTTTATTATTAGAAGACCTGTTGATCAATTGGCAAGGAAGTGCTAATGGATCAATAATAAAAGGTAAACTAGGGACTTTGTACAAGTTGTGACTTAAATAATATTTTTTCTTCTTTTATAGGTTTATGATCTGAATAAAATTGCAAAAGAAATCAAGCTGCCTGGAGCTTTTATTCTTGGAGCAGGAGCAGGTCCATTTCAGACTCTCGGGTTCAATTCTGAGGTCAGCATGTATAAGAAAATTATTTTACTTTATTGATTTGACATTTGATTTGTCTTTTTGCTTTTAGTGCCAAAAATTCTACTTTCTGAGTGAATTATAAGTCTCTCTGCAGGTTTAATACTGCTTGATATAGATTTCTGCTATAGCACACACTCCAGCTGAACTAACTATAATGGAGTACTAACTTATAGTTTTAGATTTTCTTAGGTTATAGGTTCAGCCTTAGATAAATGCAGGGTTCTATGGTATTCTGTTGAAAGTTCTGGATTATAAAACATTTATAGTCTTACAGGATTCCTAATTTCTCTATAAATCCTTGCTTTGGGTATGCAGGCAGCTTTGGATTAGAAGGTGAATGGAACATTGGTGATCTAGTCAACTTCTTCAAGACCAAATAGTAGGAAACCATCACAATAGTATGATGGTTATTTATAAAAGTTAATAGTTATTACTAATATACATTATTACCATATGAAAATATTACTGTTTCTTTGAATCTCATGAATACAAGACTTAAGTCTGCTCATTCTCTCATAACATCTTCAGATATGACTAATAGTCATACAAGTTCTTTGCAGAAACATTAATACAATTTGCCTAGTGTTCAAGTTAGGGAAAAAAGTTTAAAATTTAAAATAAGATATTTAATGCAAGTTATAGATACACTGTAAGAAATACTATAAATATCTTCTTTTTTTCTTTTTTTTTTTTTTTGAGACAGAGCCTCACTCTGTCGCCATGCTGAAGTGCAGTGGCGCGATCTTGGCTCACTGCAACCTCCACCTCCCAGGTTCAAGCAATTCTTTTGCCTCAGCCTCCTGAGTAGCTGGGACTACAGGCACACGCCACCACGCCCAGCTAATTTTTGTATTTTTAGTAGAGATGGGGTTTCACCATGTTGGCTGGCAAGGATGGTCTTGATCTCTTGGAACCTCATGATTTTGCCCCCCTGGCCTCCCAAAGTGCTGGAATTAACAGGGTAGGCCACAAGCGCCGCGTGCCTATAAATATCTCTATATAAAATGTTTTTCAAGCCGCAGGCGCTGTGGGCTCAAGCCCTGTAATCCCAGCACCTTTGGCGGAGGCCGAACGGGCAGATCACGGAGGTCAGGAGATCGAGACCGATCCTGGCTAAAAACCACGGGAAACCCCGTCTCTAGCTGAAAAAATTACAAAAAACTAGGGCCGTCGGAGGT